ACATATTGAATTATCGGAACTATAAAATTAATTGAGTTTAAACGTAACAGATTTTTGGGCGACGCTTGGTTCGTGCTGCCTCTGAAGCGGCGGGGTTGGTATGAATCAAATAGCACATATAATATGAAATTCATTGATGACTTGGTTTATACGGTTAATCAGTTTAACTTTGATGGAGTAAGATTAACTGATTCATTTTATATTATATACGGTGTCGCCAAACGAAAATCAGTAATTCTTGAATTTCGGATTTAACACTTAACAGAGTATGGCTCATCAGCTCCGAAGGACAATATATAGTTACATGTATTGAAATCGATGTTTGAATCGATATCATTAGATTAGATCTTTCAAAGTCCGGTAAAGCCTGTATCTTGTGAAGTGAAATATCTGAAAATCAATCCTTGGCGGCACCTATTTATTAAACAATTAATTAATTACCTTCTATATATTAACTTGTATATAGATTGATATAGATTATCCCTTCAAATTTCCGTGCAATCCTTCAATAGGATTCAATGAAACTGATTTTTCAAATTTCTTAAGTGCCATATCAGCACGATTAGGTAATAAGAATTTAACAATTACGGCTGGCCAATATTCTATAAAGGGCATCAAATCGAATATCATTAGTCATATAAATATTCAGGTAATATTTAGGTTTTTTTTTCTTTATATAATAAGTGATATAAATATTTATTTTCCATTATAAAATTTTAGGCATTTCGTCTTAATTTAAATAACACTTATGCAAGTGCTGGAATAGACAAAATCTCGCAAATTTTAAAAGACTGGAATTATATAGAACCTTCAAAACTCGTTTTAGGTGTTGAATTCGGAGGCGTTGTTGAAATGGTTTCTTCTAATAATATTAAATCAGACATCGAGAGTCAAAATCTTCAACCAGTAAATGACACAAATTTTCGGTTCGCTTTTGTTAATGAACAGATTTCAGATCAATGTAAAAGTTCATCATATGCATATTGGTCATGGAAAGATTTAAGTAGTCAATTATCATCAGGTTGTCCTACGAATTTAATTTTATTGTCACAATGGACCTATGGTTTTATTAGCAATGCGAAACAACCATATCGTTACCGACAAAATTCGTCTTCAAAATACTACTATGTCACTTTCTATGAAGATTATCAATCGTTAAATGCCAAACTTGACTATATAAAAAATAATAATTTAGCAGGAATTGCGATTGCGGACATCACCAAAGATTCGAAAGATTTACAATTGACGAACTTTATTTTGGGAAATCAAACTAATAATTCGGGAGGGAATGAAACTTCAACCTCTTCATCTACCGATATAGCTGCAATAGTGGGTGGTGTAATAGGCTCCATTATTTTTGTTGGCGCATTAGTAGCTATTGGCATCGTATTGTATCGAAGAAAACACAGAGCGAAAACGTCTAATCCACTCATAGATACGAATAATCAGACTTGCTCTGATACAAATCCTCAGGTTTACTCTGATATAAATCGTCAGGTTCGTCCAGACACAAATATTCGGATTTACTCAGATACAAATCATAAAGCTTATTAGTATGGTAAGAATGTGCATACTTAAGAAAATTTATACTATTAAAAAATAAATGCCCAAAATGAGACCGGCTACATATTAGGGTTGGAGGCACGGAAAATTTTTTGGGCATGCCCTAAAAGGCATGCCTTAGCCTGAGGCATGCCTTTCATAGTG